CTGTCAGGGCAGGGGGAAGGGATGAAACAGCGACTCAGTGATCACCGCCCGCCCCCGACTCAGCATCAGTCATCACTGTCAGTCCTGGGGTGGGGGGGTGGGGAGTGGGAGAGGGATTTTGTTGACTGTGGAGTAGGGATTTATCATTTCTGGACCAGTTTTCATGTAGACAAGGTCTTAGTCCATCTTTCTATCTCTCACCAGATGTGCTCCCACGTGTCCAGCGTCCTATATCCCCATGGACCCACATCCCCACGGACCCATGGCTGTCCATCCCCACTAGGGCTGCCTACTTCCTAATCACACAAAACCAAATACCCCTGCCCCGCCCCTTCTCTGAGGCCCCACCCCTGCTCACTCCATCCCCCCTCCTTCTGCACTTTCACTGGGCTGGTAGAGGGGGTTGGGGTTGGGGTTGGGGTGGGAGAGGGGTTATGGGCTCTGGGCTGGGGGGTGCAGGCTCTGGGGTGAGGTGAGGGATGAGGGGTTTGGGGTGCAGGAGGGGGCTCTGTGCTGGAGCTGAGGGGTATGGAGTGCAGGAGGAGGTGCAGACTCTGGGGTTGGGCCAGGGATGAGGGGTTTGGGGTGCAGGAGGTGGTTCTGGGGTGGGCAGGGGGTTGGGGTGCATCCAATTTTGGTCCCTCCACTATAGAAGGGATGTGGACAATTTGGAGAGAGTCCATCGGAGGGCAACGAAAATGATCAAGGGTCTGGGGCACATGACTTATGAGGAGAGGCTGAGGGAACTGGGATTGTTTAGTCTGCAGAAGAGAAGAGTGAGGGGGGATTTGATAGCTGCTTTCAACTACCTGAAGGGGGTTCCAAAGAGGATGGAGCTCGGCTGTTCTCAATGGGGGCAGATGACAAAACAAAGAGCAATGGTTTCAAGTTGCAGGGGGGAGGTCTAGGTTGGATATTAGGAAAAACTATGTCACTAGGAGGGTGGTGAAGCACTGGAATGGGTTCCCTAGGGAGGTGGTGGAATCGCCATCCTTAGAGGTTTTTAAGGCCCGGCTTGACAAAGCCCTGGCTGGGATGATTTAGTTGGGGTTGGTCCTGCTTTGAGCAGGGGGTTGGACTAGAACCTCCTGAGGTCTCTTCCAACCTTAATCTTCTATGATTCTATGAAGGGGTTCAGGGTCCCGGCAGCGCTTAAGAAAGCAGCCACCAGGTCCCTGTGGCAGCTCTGTGGGATGCACGCTGCCTTCGCGCCCACAGGCTCTGCTCCCCACAGCTCCCATTGGTTGTGGATCCCGGCCCATGGGATCTGCAGAGCTGGCACTGGGGTGGGGGCAGCGTGTGGAGCCTCGCTGGCCACCCCAGTGCCTAGGAGCTGCAGGGACCCAGCGGCCGCTTCCGGGAGCCGTGTGGAGCTAGGGTAGGCAGGGAGCCTGTCTTAGCCCCAGGCACCTGCTGTGCCGCCAACCTGACTTTTAACAGCCTGGTCGGCAGTGCCAACTGGAGCCACCAGGTTCCCTTTTCGACCAGGCAACCCTGCGACATTGCACCGCATAAGTCTTTATGGAAATATGTTTATGAATGTATATATGACATAACTGGAATGTTTTATGCTACATATGCCATGTAACATATCTCTGTAAAGGTTAGGATCTACTGAATCTATCCATCCTATTTGTATGCATGTGTCGTTGTATTCGAAGTTATGAATATTGGCTGTGTACTGGTTTGATTTTAAATAGCCTTAGTAAGGCATTTGGGCAACTTCTTTAGAAAGGAATTTGCAAGTTAAGTGCCCAATCAAGAAACACTTAACGGACAATGGATCTTGGAAGGCTCCAATCCACATAAGAAGTCTACCTGAGGACGTTCAAGGTAGCATGTGAACCATGGCTGCTAGCTGAAAGTTCTGAGTCATGTATGGACATGTGACTTGTCCATGTGACTCCAAAACTCCATCTTGGAGCTGGGATTCTACACAGGGGGAGGGAGGGGTGTCCACCCACAAGAGAAAGTCTATTTAAACCCCTGGGAGACCCCTCCATTTTGTCTTCAGCTCGCTAAAGAAGGAGCCTCTCCACCCCCAAAGGATACCTGAAAGAAACTAGGACAAAGAACAGTAACTACAGGGGTGTGAGTGATTGCTGGACCCAGACTAGAAGGAGACTAGTCTGTAAAAGGAAGCTTACTGGAACTACTCTGAGGGTGAGATTTTATCTGTATTCAGTTTTCTTACTGTATCAGGCATAGACTTGCGTGTTCTCAGGGCCGGCGCAACCCATTAGGCGACCTAGGTGGTTGCCTAGGGCGCTAACATTTTGGGGGCGGTGACCGCAGTGGCTGGATCTTCGGCCGCCACGGTCGTCGGCGGTATTTTGGGGACAGGACCTTCCGCCGCCTCTGTGGGGGGTGGCATTTCAGGGGCGGGACCTTCCGCCGCCTAGGGCGGCAAAAAAGCTGGCGGCGCTCCTGAGTGTTCTATTTTTTTTGTTTGGTAATTCACTTTGTTCTGTCCGTTACTTCTTGGAACCATTTAAATCCTACTTTCTGTATTTAAAAAAATCACTTTTACTTATTAATTAACCCAGAGTATGTATTAATACCTGGGGGGGGGGCAAACAGCTGTGCATATCTCTCTATCAGTGTTATAGAGGGTGAACAATTTATGAGTTTACCCTGCATAAGCTTTATACAGGGTAAAATGGATTTATTTGGGGTTTAGACCCCATTGGGAGTTGGGCATCTGAATGTTAAAGATAGGAACACTTCTGTTAGCTGCTTTCAGTTTAAGCCTACAGCTGTTAGGTTCAAGTCTGGGTTTGCAGCAGGCTAGCATGTCTGGCTCAAACCAGGCAGGGCACTGAAGTCCCAAGCTGCCAGGGCAGGAAAGCAGGGACAGAAGTAGTCTCAACACATCAGTTGGCAGCCCCAAGGGGGTTTCTGTGATCCAACCCGTCACAAACCTTAGTCCCCACTGACCCGTGCCGTCCATCCCCATGGATCTATCTATAACCCTCTATCTAGAAGAATTGAACCACTCAGTTCTGTCTGCAGGGACCGTCCCCCTCCAAACGGCCCGAATGGCCCCGTGGGCATCTGAGTGGGGTGCCCTGTTCCCTGGGGGATGAATTGTTTCATTTCTCCCGCTCACCTTCTCCCTCCAGCTCCATTATGGGGGGATCCGGCTGCTGGGTCCCATCTGGGTCGGTTCCATCTGTGGGATTAAAACGAGCATCGGCTGAGATGCGGGGGGACGGAACCGAGCACCCAGGCCCGGGTGGGAAGAGGCTGAAACGGTGACACTGAACAGCCCACGACCTGGCGTTTCTTACGGCTTTAATTGTCTGGGCTAGTGGGGAGCGAATTCAGGGCTGGGGCTGATGCTGGCTGGGCAGCCCCTGGGCCCCCCACTCCTCTGTGTGTCCCCAGAGCAGGCTCAGCTGGGAGAGCATCCCCCTGGGAAAGGCCCACTGCTCTGCAGCTCCCCCTGGGAATAGGCACCGACTTCTGCTTGTGCCGGTGGGTGCTCAACCCCGCTCAGCCCCCGGCGCCACCCCGACTCTGCCTCTGCCCCGCCCCATTCCAACCCCTTCCCCAAAATCTCTGACCCAACTCCACCCCCTCCCTACTCCTATTCCGACTCCTTCCCTAAATCCCCGTCCCAGCCCTGCCTCTTCTCCGCCTCCTCCCCTGAGTGCGTCACATTCCCACTCCTCCCCCATCCCACCTGGAGCTTGCTACGCCACCAAACAGCTGTTTGGCGGCGGCAAGCGCTGGGAGGTAGGCAGAGGAGCGGGGATGCGGCACGCTCAGGGGAGGAGGCAGAGGAAGAGGTGGCGGGGAGAGAAGCTTGGCTGCCGGTGGGTGCAGAGCACCCACTAATTTTTCCCCATGCATGCTCCAGCCCCGGAGCACCCATGGAGTCGGCGCCTATGCCCCTGGGGGCAGGGATCCCTCCTCCCTGAGCCCCAAACCTCCAGCAGCTGCTGCTCTCCCCTGGCTGAAGAACCCACCAGTGACTCCGTCCCCACTCCCAGGCCAGGCGTCCCCTCTGCTGGGCCCAGGGCAGAGCCTGACTCTGAGTGTCCCTGAGGGCAAGACCCCCTGAGGGTCCGGCTGGGTGTGGGGCTGGGAGCAGGGACGTGGAGCCGGGCCCCTCACCTGCTATCACCAGCTCCACGAGGTCGCTGGGCTCCGACCAGATGGGCGGATTAGATTTGATGCTGTATTGGCAGCTGTAGCTCCCTGCGTTTCTCCGGCTCACACTGTGGATGGGAAACTCAGCCACGTCCCCCGCGGGGTCCATCGAGCGCCGTGCCTCTGGGTCTTCAGCTTTACTCAGAAGGAACCTCGCTTCCCGACACCGACACTCACACCGGATGGTCACAGCTCTCCCCAGGGCAACCCGCCTGCTGGGGTACAGGGAGATGTTGGGTTTGGGCTCTGCAGACAGGAGGAGACAGGCCATGAAACACAGACCCCAGCTCGGTCACTGCGCCCCATCCCCACAGCCTGGCCCCAGTGACGAGGACAATACAGGGGCCTGCAGGGAGAGTCTCCTGGAGGCTTTTCTCCAAAATCCAAGACCAAGAGAGCTGGGCTAGTGACACAAGAGGCAGAGGGCCCCCCCCACCCCTCAGCAGGGCAATGGCCCAGATCCATCTGCAAGGAGCCCATGCGGGGTGGCTGGGGCAGGGCAAGGAGAGGCCGAGGGGACCTAGAGGCCAATTGTGTTTTATCTCCATCAGCTGGGAAAGGAGAAATCAGTTCAGTGGGGAATGATACCAAGTGAATCAGAGTTCGCTGGTGTAGCAGGAACTGCTGGGTAGGGTCACACTGGGAACTACTGCTGAGCTCGCCTGGACAGTAACTGCCATTGGCTGAATTCAACCCACTTCCTGGGCAACAATTTACATTCCTGGAGCACCAGGATCTGGAGTTAGAACATCCAAGGCACTAGGCCAGAACCCCACCGCTCTACGGTCCCTTTGCAGTTTCTCTGATTGCAGCCTCTGTATGGTCCGAGTTTGGAGGCCGAGTTCTTAGGATGGTTGGTTGGATCTGGAGCCATCCTCTTGCACCGTCTTTGTTGGCTGTTCTGAGTAGGGTGAGCAGAGTCCCGATTTTATAGGGACAGTGCCGATATTCAGGGTTCGTCTTATATACGCACCTAAAACACTCCACCCCCTGTCCCAGCTTTTCACCTTTGCTATCTGGTCACCCTAGTTCTGAGTTCCAGCTCAAATCAAGTCAGCTAGTCCTCCCTGCCATCTTTGTCCCTTCTGAACGGGACGTTCTCCCAGCCAGCTCTGTGCCTGGCGCCATTTTGATGACACAGCTCAGCCACCAGGGTCCCTTTCCACTGGCTCCCCACTCCCTGGGTCCCTTCATTTCTGGTTCCGGCTGCTACCTCGCTTGCTGCTGGTGTCTCTCTCCAGGGCCTGGGCAGCCTCCCTCCAAACTCTACTGGCCCTTTCCACCGGGAGCGCTCTGGGCTGTGGGGAGCTGCTGCCTGCTGTCCCATCTGTTTTCTTTCTCACCAGGGCCATCGCTAGACATTGTGGTGCCCTACACAGCCCCCCATGGGGGGGCAGGGGCTGGCCCCAAGCCTCTGCAGGGGTGGGGGCTGTGCTCAAGGTCTGTGGGGGGCAGGAGCAGGCTTGGGGCTAAGGGGGGATCCCGCCCCCCAGCATGAGCTGGCGGAGTACATTGGGGCTGGGTCGCTCCACTTCCTCCCGCTCCGTGATTGCAGGCTCTGTCCAACCCCACACTCACGGGGAGGCAGGAAGTGGAGTGACCCGGACCCAACCCTGCACTCATGGGGTGGCGGGAAATGGAGTGACCCGGCCAGAGCCTGCTCCACTCTGCTCCCCTGGCTTCCAGCCTTGGGGCTTGGGGGGTAGGGGGAAACTGCCCCCCAGCACTCACTGACAGAGTGGAGCGGGCTGGGTCTGGGTCACTCCACTTCCCGCCACCCGGTGAGTGCTGGGCGCGCCCGACCCCTGCTGCAGTCCCCCGGGATGCAGCTCAGGGGAAGGAGTGGAGCGGGGGCGGAGCGGGGGTGGGAAGAGGAGGCAGAGCAGGGGCGGGGGCTATGGGGAAGGGGTGGAGTGGGTGTGGGGTGGGAGCGGGGGCAGCTTTTCTGGCCGGCTCAGCCGGCTGGCGGATTGGACTGGACACTGGAGCAGCACACAGCTGCTTAAGGCACCAGGAAATTTGGGGCAATTTGCTGCCCCAAATATCCTGGTGCCCTACACAGCTGCATAGTTTGCGTATGGGTAAGGACGGCCCTGTTTCTCACCCTACTTCAGCTGCCCAGGAATCCTGGGGGTCCTCCCCACTGCAGCTGTTTTGTGGCTGTTTTCAAGAAATCCCCCCTCCCTCAGCCCCAAATCTCCAGAAGCTGCTCCTTATCCCAGCTGGGAACTCCCCAGTGAGTCTGTTCCCACTCCCCAGCCAGGTGTCCCTTCTGCTGGGGCCAGAGCTCAGGGCAGAGCCTGGCTCTGAGCGCCGAGATCCCCTGAATGTCCATCTGTGTGTGGGGTTGGGAACGGGAACGCCGAGCTGGGCCCCTCACCTGCTACCACGAGCTCCATGGGGTCGCTGAGCTCTGACCAGACAGGCGGGTCTGATTTGGTGCTGTATCGGCAGCTGTAACTTCCTGCGTCTCTCCGGCTCACGTTGCGGATGGGAAACTCAGCCATGTCCCCAGCAGGCTCCGCGTCCTGCAGCGCGTTCGGGTTTCCAACTTTGTACAAAAGGAACCTCATGTTCTGGTGCCGACCCCAACACCGGACGGTCACGGCTCCCCCGAGGATGACCCGCCTGCTAGGGCTCAGGAAGATGGAGGGTTTGGGGAAGCTGAGCTCTGCAGTGAGAAGGAGACAGGCCATGAGACAGACCCCGGCACCGTCACTGCACCCCGTCCTCACCCTACAGAGACGGAGAAAACCCAGCCAGAGGAACTGTGACGAACTTGGGGATTTTTGTAGTGTTTTATATGAATTGGGTGTGCGTGCCTCAGTTTCCCTGTGCGCTGCATGTGTAATGAGGTGGTGGGAGAGGGTTTGTTGCTGCAGAGGACCAGGTGTGACCTTGCCTGGCAGCCGGGACCCCCGGACAATGGCCTGGAGATGGGAACCCGAACAACTGGTGACCTGGAGACGAAGAGGCCCAGTCCAGCTTGGCAGCCAGTCAGTTCTGGCCAGTGGGAGGACAAAGGGCTGAGGAGAGAGAACCCTGGTGACCTGACCAGCCGGTTCCAATCAGAGGGGGCCAGAGGATATGAGAGGAGGCCCAGGGCACCCTGGTCACCTGGAGAGAAGACAATGGACAGAGGAGGGGCTTGGGGCCGGTGATCTCAGATGCCCAGCTGGGAAGCAGGGGGGCTCTGGGCTGGAGAGGGGGAGCAGGCAGAGCCCACCTGGATGCAGGGGAGACTGGGCTGTGCTGGGCTGAGCGAGGCCAGGCCTGAGGGTCAGAGAGTTTCCTGTGCTGTGTTCAGACACTCAATAAACCCTCCTGTTCTACGCTGGCTGAGAGTCGCTCCGGGCTAGAGAACAGGGTGGCATTATTCCCTCTGGGAGTGGAGGCCCGGGGGTCCAGAGTGAGGGGACTCCCTGAGGGGGCCCATGGCAAGAGACAGACGTGCTAAGGCTCAGAGAGGTGCAGTACCAGGAGGTCGAGGGGCTTAAACCCCCCGAGAGGGAGTTGGCCCCCAAGAAGGACTGTCACACTGAAGGGGGTTCCCCCCCAGGGACCATGGGGAGCTGAGAGAACACAGGCCTGTGAGTCTGTGAGCGTGGAGATGGCCTATAACCACCTCCTTAAGAAGGCTGCACAATGGAAAGCTCACCAAGGCACAGCTTTTTGTTCAGTTGGAAGAGGATGATCCCTGTACGGAGCTGGTTCCTGACCCAGCTGGGGCTGCGAGAGAGGCGGGGAGCAGCCGGGCATCCCCGAGACCCATGTCCCTGACCAGCAGGGGGTCTCCACTGGGTTCCCCGGTGCATCTGAGATGGATGGAATTGGAGCGGAGATTGAAGGAGGCAGAGGACCAGGACAGACAGGGACGGCAGGAGGCAGAACAGCAGGAGATGAACTGGTGATGGAGGAGCTGAGAGGAAAAGGGACCCGTCCAGGGGTGAGCGGGGATGGACCCTGGGGTGCCAATTCCGCAGGGAACCTCGGCACTAAATTGCTGCCCCAGGTTAAGGAGGGGGAAGATATAGATGCCTGTCTTGCGGCCTTTGGGAAGGCTGGCAATTGGAACCAGGCTGACCCTGCGGAAAGGCTCCGGCGTTAGCCCCCTTTCTGGGTCCCAAGGCCATAGAGGTCATTAGCCAGATGGGCGGGGTGGCAGACTGGCTCCCACTCCCAGCCCCAGCGTCTATGTCTGCGTGTACTCTCCTGGGCTCAAGCCCCTTGGACCCACAGTGGGAGTGGAAGGTGGTGGTCAAATGTGAGACATCCCTGAGGTGGTGAGATCCTGGGACAGAGAGAACTGTTGTCAGGCCCCGGGAGGTGTAGCAATGGCCGTCATTAGGATCCAGAGTTAACAGTGTCACATGGAATTATTAGGTTACAGAGTTAACACGGTGTCTATCTTGGTTGGGAGGTTCCAGGGTTGACACCCTGCTGGGCAGCACCTCTGTGAAGGGGGAGCCCTGCTTCTGAGCCATTCCCCCCAGGCTGTCTGCAGACTCAGGCAGACAGACAGGATACACAGGATCATTATCCCCGGCTCTCCATCCCTGGCCCTGTTCTCCCAGGGAAATATGCAAGAAGCTGTGCCCCACATAGTTTGTGGGGCCCCTGGGGTGGGGCTGTGCATTGGAGGGAAGCTTTCCTGGGCCCTGCCCCCACCAAGCCAATCTGGCATCTGTCCAGTGATCGCCCGCCCTGGCATATGAATTGAGGCCCAGGGGGGTTTCAGATGGGGCATTCGCTGTAGGGATCTTCCCCCATCCCACCCACTCAGCCCTTCGTGGCTCCCCCCGGGGGCGGCTCCTTGGATAGAGCAAACCTGTTTCAGGGGGGGTTGATGGCGATTTCCTGCCCCCAGCCCCGGTACCTGGTCCCACGCTGCCCGGGCGGGTGGGAGCCAGCGTCGTTCCCGACTGAGAGGAGTCGGTTCCTCCTGCAGGAATAGAACCAGCGTCTGTCGGGGCGGGGTGAGAAAGCTGGGGCCCTGGTGTCTGTGGTTAGTTAAACAGGGACACACACCCCCACCCGCAACCGACAATGGTGGCTCTTCCCTGGACTGAGATGGCTTCACTGGGACCCAGGGATTCAGCCTGCCTCAGCGACCCCAGGATCCCAGAACGGGGAGGATTGGCCCAGCGAGACCCTGAGCACAGGGATTCGTCATTTCGGGTCCAGTTTTCATGTAGACAAGGCCTTCATCCATCTTTCTATCCGGAACCAGACGAGCTCCCATCTCTCCAATGGACCCATATTCCCACCGACCCATGGCCATCCGTCCCCACTGACCTTTGGCCGTCCATCTCATGGATCTATCCATCACCCTCTATATAGAAGAATTGAACCCATCAGTTCTGTCTGCAGGGACATCCCCCTCCTAACGGCCCGAATGGCCCCGTGGGCATCTGTGCGAGGAGCCCTGTTCCCTGGGGGATGAATTGTTCCATTTCTCCCACTCACCTTCTCCCGCTAACTCCGTCAAGGGAGGATCCGGCTGCTGGGTCCCAGCTGGGTCAGTTCCCTCTGTGGGATGAAAACGAGCATCGACTGGGACGGAGGAGGGAGGGAACCGAGCACCCAGCCATCAGCCCTGAAACTCCAGCGGCTGCTGCTGCCCCCTGGCTGGGGAACACCCCAGTGACTCCATCCCCGCTCCACGTTTGGATGTCCCCTCTGCTGGGCCCAGAGCTCAGGGCGGAGCCTGGCTCTAAGCATCCCCTCAGCACGGAGCCTCCCTGAGGGTTCAGCTGGGTGTGGGGCTGGGAGTAGGGACACCAAGCGAGCCCCTTCACCTGATATCACCAGCTCCACAGGGTTGCTGGGCTCTGACCAGACGGGCGGGTCCCACTTTGTGCTATATTGGCAGCTGTAGTTCCCTGCATCTCTCCGGCTCACACTGCGGATGGGAAACTCAGCCACATCCCCCACGGGGTCCATCGAGCGCCGTGCGTCCGGGTCTCCAGCTTTACTCAGAAGGACCCTCACTCCACGACACCGACACTCACACCGGATGGTCACGGCTCCCCCCGGGGCGACCCCCGCACTGGGGTGCAGGGAGATGTTGGGTTTGGGGTAGCCGGGCTCTGCAGGCAGGAGGAGACCGGCTGTGAGACACAGACCCCAGCATGGTCACTGCGTCCCATCCGCAGAGCCTGTTCCCAGTGATGAGGCCAATACAGGGGACTGCAGGGAAAGTCTCCTGGATGCTTTTCCCCTGAATCCAAGACCGAGAGAGCTGGGCTAGTGACACAAGAGACATGGGGTCCCCCACCCTCAGCAGGGCAAGGGCGCAGATCTATCTGCAAGGAGTCCATGGAGGGGCGGCTGGGGCAGGGCAAGGAGAGGCTGAGGCCAATTGCGTTTTATCTCCATCAGCTGGGGAAGGGGAAAGCACATCCGTGGGGCAGGAGCA